GAGCAGCGTCGTCTGTCCAAACAAATCATCATCCCTCAGGATATCGACCCCAGTTTCCCTACCTCAGATCCCGAGGACAACGAAGACATGGACGAAGAGGATGTTGCCGAGTCTGTTCCAGAAGACGGATTTCGAGGCCGGACTGGTCGGGACAGCAGCCGCAAAGCTTCTCCCCGCCAGTCTCCCAAGCGCATGGTTTCTCCCCCTCCTCCCAAGCGCATGGTCTCCCCCCCTCCGCGTCGTCATGGCCGTGCATCTCCCCGCCGTCTACGGTCGCCTCCACCCATGAAGCTGCGGTCTTCAACCCGGGATCTGGAGACGGTCGATGAGGTGCCTGCCCAGGGACTTAACATCAGCGAACTGGTGCAGCGTCCTTCCATGTCCCGCACCAAGTCCCTCCCTCGTACCCCTAACCCATTCTTCACCAGCCTGGACAAGTCTCACCGGTGGTCTGGCATTGTTCCAGTGCAGGAGTCGCCAGAGCGCGATCTATCACGCACCCGTGAAGTGCACATGAGAGGCCCCATCGATATTGTTGAGGGTCTGGAAAAGAAGCGTCAGAAACGGAAGGAGAAGTTTTGGCGCACCCATTGCCGCAAAGCTGCCAAGGAGCAGATGGAACGGCGACCGATCCCCGGCAAAGGTGCTGAACGGATGAAGGAGCTTGGCCTCGAGGTTGCTGAGAGGTGCAGAGCTTATGGCGTCGGAGAAAGCGCCCAGCTCGTCCTATCCGTTTAGACCGACACTTTGCCTACGAATGAGGGGATTCGAGTCCTTCTTGTACATACTTTGATTATTATTTTCCCCTTTCAGTCGCCCGCTCGAGCTTACGATTTCCCGTGTGGATCGACTGGGGTGTACAGAATTGAACCAAGCGTCATTCGCTTTTACATTTAAGCTTGCCTTCGCTGTCCTTATTTGTTCTGTTAACGTGTCCCACGGTATTTTACTGGTTCGAAATGTTCCTTTATCTGCATATGTGCTGGGCGGTCGCATTTCTCATGTGTGTCTGACTCTTCTACTTTTGCGTTTCTTTTCTGTCCATGATCTTGGTCACGATTATCGATTTTTATTTTCTCTTTTATTGCGGTTGGTGTTTTGCTCGATTCCAGCCTGGATTTGCATGGCGGCGGTTTCCTTTGAGATTATACCCCTGCTTGTTTTCTCTTTGTCAGGTCACTATTATTGTATTCAAGCCCCAAGGCAAAACGGGGAGCGATCCGACTTCTTTATATCAAGTCAAATGCCAAACATTAACTTGATTTATCCAAGATGAGTTGGCCAGCGAAACACGTAGTAGCATTGACAGACAGTAGATGCAGTTACAGCAGACTTGGAAGGTCGGGACCGGCAGATCTCCCGGCGGTAGAGTTGAGTGGAAGAAGTTGGTTGGCATTAGCGCTCGGCTAAGGCGTCAAGGCAAGCGACCGTCCAACGTCAACTGACCGCAATCTGTCTCCTTCCCTTCCCTCTTATCTCCCGTCCGTCTCGTATCCCAGCTCGTACCACACCACCACCGCTGCTGCTGCTGCTGCTGCTGCTGCTGCTTGCTTTGCTTTTCCTTTTGGAAATTCCAGCGATTTCACTAATTTCAAGCATTTGCCCACCATGTGGATCATTAACTGGTGTAGGTAGCTCCCTTCCTGAGTCGGATGTTATTCCATTCCCCGATGCGAACGTGCTTACTCTACCCTGGGAGAGCGCGAACACGAGGGTGGGCATGGAAGAATGAGAGATAATTGGCGTCAGCTCATCGTCTCAGTCGCTTGCCATGTGTTTGATTTTCTTTTCATGCTTGAAATGCTGACAATCACCGTTCCCTACCATTTAGTCTACGACCTCCTGGCCTCCCTTGGCCTGCTTAACAAGCACGCTAAGCTGCTCTTCCTCGGTCTCGACAATGCCGGAAAGACTACTCTCTTGCACATGCTGAAGGTACGTGATGATGGAGTTAACACCGTCTGTGTGTGGGATAGGATACCAACGAGGGAGGGTGGTGGATGTGTTGGATCAGTCTACCATTCTTGGGGAGGAGTTGGGCATCCATCGATCACAACACGAAACCTCGCTCTCTTTTTTCCCTGAGATGAGAGATACAGATGATGGGACCGACCTTGCAATCGAGGCTAGAATGACACGCTGACTTTTCGGTTCTTGTGATAGAATGACCGCGTTGCCATTCTCCAGCCTACCGCTCACCCCAGTACGTTTTTCGCCACCCCGCTGCTTCCCGCACGGATCATATTGGTTGAGCTTCGTGAGCTCGTAGTGATGCGGACTGCAAACTAACCTTGAAGCTTAGCGTCGGAGGAGCTTGCCATCGGTAACAACCGCTTCACGACCTTCGACCTGGGTGGTCACCAGCAGGGTGAGTAAATCCAATTCAATAGGGAGATATTCAACGGGGGAGGGCAAGAAGGCACAAGAAACTGACGTAATGATATACACCCACAGCTCGCCGTCTCTGGAAGGATTACTTCCCTGAAGTTAGCGGTATCGTCTTTCTGGTCGACGCCAAGGACCACGAGCGGTTCCCCGAGTCCAAGGCCGAGTTGGACGCCCTGCTTGCGATGGAGGATCTGGCCAAGGTCCCCTTCTTGATCCTGGGCAACAAGATCGATCACCCGGATGCCGTCAGCGAGGATGAGCTCCGTCACCAGCTGGGTCTGTACCAGACCACGGGTAAGGGCAAGGTCCCTCTCGAGGGAATCCGGCCCATCGAGGTGTTCATGTGCAGTGTTGTCATGAGACAGGGTGCGTTTGGCTGAACCATCTCCCTTTTCTTTTCTGGTTGCAGATGCTAATCATGTGGATTTCGAGTGCTACAGGTTACGGCGAAGGTATCAGATGGCTGTCTCAATACGTCTAAACAGGGGTATTCCCATCCTTGATTTCCCGGATTTGCCTAAGCCTACCTACCAACTGTACCGATATACACCATCCACCCTTCTTCTCCCCCTAAACCCTCTTGTCTACTCTACCGCTTTCAATCTATACCAATATCTACAACCTGTCAAACATACCCCCCAGATCCACTTTCTTCCATTGCCCAGGATTGGGTGATAGTCCGGAGTTTGTTCCCAAACATCGCCCCTCTTCTCCGAAGAATGCCTCGAATGTCATCCATGCTAGTTACGAGTTAGCCTAAACCTCACCTCAAACTCAACGCAGAAACCCTCCATCATTCTCCCTCTGTCACTCAGTTTGTCAGCCAGTTCCTAAAGCGCTATTCCCGGAGCGAATCATCACAGCTAATTTGCCCCTACGGGCCCACGTGCTGGTGTGCTGTGGCTTCTGCCGCCGCTGCTGCTGATTCCGCATCTCTATCCACCCATCTCAAGCAGATCCCATTGGCCCTAGTACTAAACCTGCGTGTGTTCTACTTGTGCCGCTACATCAGTTTCAACCCTTTCTCTCGCGCTGTTAAATACTTCATCCTCGCAATTCAAACTTCACTAAAGTACCTGAATAGATCGACCAAGTTAGGCGATAATGATGAGCCAGCACGTCGCGCAGTGTAGTAGTAGTACTCCGTTCCGTCTAGTCAGCGGTTGTGAACCCATTCATTATTACCATCGGCCGCATACTACACATCAACATCCTGATTGAGGTCAAAATCAACGAAGTAGAAAGAACAGAGCATGCCCCTTATCCGTATCTCTAGCAGCAGGGATCGAGTATAGGCCAACTGAACCTCCACACATCGTTTCACACTCTACTCCTCCCCCACCCAGAATCCTCTCCTCTAACACCATGATCAAAAATCCCAAAGTCCAAGTCCAAGCCGGATTCCTCCTAAACAGCTACTCTCCACCAAAGGGGAATGACATAGCGGTGCACCCGTCCTATCCACCATACCCTCAAAACCATGCACACCTTACTGATATACTCCCCGCATTGACTCTTACAGAGGCAGGGATTTCGTTCACGACGCACGAACGAAACGATTGCGTGTGAAACGATAAAGCAGTAGGTGTATTGATCTTTCTCAACTTCTGTGAATCTTCTTTGCGACCCTAAACATCCACTGAACGCCGGATGCAGGACCTGGTCTATTATCTTCTATTGATATAGATCTTCTGGGCTCAGATATCGAGTAACTGAGATGGAAATGGCGTGGTCACCAGTGAGGCGTGGTACAGACGAGGAGGGACCGATCAGCTGTTTTTGCCGCGTGGGAAAAGGAATGTAATACCATAGTACCATACAATGAGGGTGTGGTCTCAGTTTGGGGGTAGGGGGAGGGGGCGATATGTTAGGTGAGGGTGTTATGTGGTCAAACTTCGAAAGCGAGTTTTGTCGAGCAGCAAGCAGTGGAGCGCTAGAGGTGGTGGGCGATGATGCGCTGCGTTGCTTGTTGAAGAGTATGTGGTCACGTGCTGGATGGCTGATCAAAGGCAGGGCAGGACAGGACAGGGTATAGATGGTCTCGTCCGGAACGTCAAAAGACACGGGCGTGTCATTGCTTATTTGGTTGGCATTACACTCACAGGAAGATTTTCAGGAAAGAAGAAAAACGCAGATGGAGAACAACACCAGATGCAAGCCCGTCGCTTCGCCTTCCTCTGTCAAATGGATTCGAACAACATGAGATAAGATGGATAGAGAAGAAAGGAAAAAAAGAGGTCAATGAAGACGAACAAGGAGAAAGGAGAAGGAAATGAGAAATAACACCAACCCCTACTTGGGAGCAGAAACTACCTTCCATGTAAGAAAAATGAAAACACATTCAGCGGTAAACATTCATTTGCAAGTCGCTGGATTCTGGAATTCCGGAAGTGGATGATTGTGTTGTGTGTTGTGTGACGTTCCGCGTGGTCGTGTGAGGTTCTCGGGCGGCTCAGGTGTGCTGCTGCTGCTGCCGATCGTCTAGTTTCATGGCCATCGATGTCGTTGGGGGGTTGGGTCTCTCGCTATAGTGTGACATGGTGGGAGTTTTGTTGTTGACGAAGTTTATCTTCGCCCGAACCTGCTGCACATGGAAAAGCTCGTATGATTCCTTACTTCTTCTTTTGCTTTCGCGGAGGAGTGATGGGCCTGCCTGAGCTCATGCCGCCGTAAACGTACTTTTGTTTCTTCTCTGCTGGTTTCAGGATCTATTGATGGCAAAAAGGTTAGCGCTAGCCGGAGAACTCCTGAAGTTCCTTGTCAAAACCAACCTGGAAGGAGCATAGTAGACTTTCGTCGACGCTCATCATTGCACCAGCATTGTCGAATTCGCCGCAGTAGTTGGGCGCACTGAACAATGTAACGAGTTGCCTCTTGGAGAAAAACTCATATCCATCCTCAACGACTTGATGCGCACGACATATCAAGTCCATGTCGTGCTTCTGAAGGAATCGCGATACAACATCCGGGCCGAACGTGAACGAAACGCCACGGTCGTTCTCGCTCCAGCCGGTGATGTCTTTGTCGGGGTCGGACCACAGAAGGTCACACAGGAGACCGCAGTCGGGAATCTATCTCTGTCAGCAGGTGAAGCCTCGAAGCTTCAAGGGGCCCGAGAATCTCCTTCGCTTCCAAGTAATCCCAAGATGCAGGTGGAAAGAGAGCAGGAAGACGGATAAAGTAGTTCTTGGTCTTTGGATAACGAACGAACTCTCAGAACCGGCGACCGAAACAAAAATAGACTTACATCAGTAGGACGCATGACGCGCCGAATCTGCTCCATGGAGTTCAAATCGGGACTCAAACCTCCGTGCATGGTGAAAATCTTCTCATCGATGATGGCGGCAATGGGCAAGCAGTTGAAGCAATCAGTGAAAGTCTTCCATAGCTTGATGTTGTACCTCCGCTTGCATTCATCGTAGAAACCATAGATACGGTTGATAGAGGCACACTCGTGGTTGCCACGCAGGACGAAGAAGTTCTCGGGGTACTTGATCTTGTAGGCCAGGAGCAAGCAGATGGTCTCCAAGGATTGCTTGCCACGGTCGACGTAGTCTCCGAGGAAAAGGTAATTAGCCTCAGGGGGGAAGCCACCGTATTCGAACAGACGCAGGAGGTCGTAGTATTGGCCGTGAATATCACCGCAGATCTGATGAGAACCGCCCGATTAATGACACTCAATCTAAACCGGATGGCTCGGTTTTGAAAGATTCGAAAAAAGAGGTGGCGTTACCTTGATTGGTGCTTCCAACTCCAGCAAGATAGGCTGGGAGATGAAAATCTCTCTCGCCTTGGTGCACAGATAACGGATCTCGGATTCCAAAAGCTGAACTTGCTTGCCTGGCCGGCTACCCCTCACCTCCAGCAATCTATCGATGATCGAATCCAAATCCACTTCCTGATCGGCCATGACTGGGCGATTTTGATGAGACACGACGGGGAGCGGGGGGTGGAAGGAGAAGAACAGAGGAAGGGAAGGTGGGAAAAAAAAAGGATTATTAAGAACAAGCGTCAAGCGAAGGAAAGGAAAGGAAAAGACGCGACGGAAGGCTTTGCGGTGCGCTCGCTAGTACGACAACTGATGAGACGACGTCTACTAAGCTGAATATCAGATGAGGTTTGAAGTCAGAAAATTGTTCCCGGAGATGAGATAGAGGTTGGTGGTGGTGGATAGAATTTTGGGGAAAAGAGGCGATCGAGACGCGCGGGGGAAAAGATCATTGCGCCCGGTGAATTTTTCCTCGACCCTTTTCGCCGATTCCCGCCCACCAATCTATTGTCTTCTTTGCCTCCAAGGGGGGGGAGGGGGGAAGAGGAAAGAATCAAGAGTCAAGGGGAGGAGGCGAGATAGAGAGCTTACCAGCCTGAATCTATTAAGACGAGAGCGATGAAGCAAAAAGAGGCCAAATGGCCTTGAGGGGGAGGGAGGGAAAGTCGGATGAAGGTCTGGCCGGGGAGATGCCAGAAGACGTCAACAGAAGAAAGCAATCCGTGGTCGAAAAAGGTGGAGGATGATGCGCAGTGGTGATAACGAGGAGATGCGGCTAGCAAAGGCTCGAGAGCGAAAGGGCTGCTCTGGACGGGGCCGTTGCAAAAAATAGCAGCAGGCGGCGGGAGAGATGGTTTTGGGGGGGGGGAGGGAAGAAAGAGGAGAGAAAGAGAGAGAGAGACCCAGAGCAAGTTTGGCGGCGGGTAAGAAAGGCAGGAAAACTGAGGATTCCACCCAGAAGATCTAGCGCTCTAAAAGACACCGGGTGCTAACGGCAATCGCGAAGAATTTCTTCGAATAAAGGGAGGGTGAAAAGCTTTTGTTTTCTCTGATATCAACTGGATGGTGACGAGAGAGGGGTGGGAGGAGTGAGGGAGAAAAGAAAATAATTAGAAAATGATGGAGGGGAGGGTAGGAGAGGGGAAGTCGAGTGCGCGCACGCAGTAACTTAAGAGAAGAAGAAGAAGAAGAAGAAGAAGACAATTGTTGGTTGGCAATCAAGGGATCTATCTTTCTAGGAAGTGTGCTCCAGCTAGACAAATGATGACCGATTTTTTTTTGGAGATTCTCGCCCAAACGAAGTCGAATGGATACAGACGAAGAAGATATAGATGGAACCCAACGAACTGTATGGGAAAGGAGTAGCCAGGCAACAAAAGGTGGAGGAAGAGGAGTACGGAGTACTAGAGCGATAACGAAGCAACAACTTTCCAGCAGCACAAGAGATGCGCGCGCGCGAGACAGTGGGTGGGCAAGTGGGCAGTGGGCAGTGGGTAGCGTAGCGGGCAGTGATTGAGTGGGCAGTGGAGAGTGAGGGAAGGGAGTGAAGAATGAGGTGGAGAGGAAAGCGGCGCGGGAGAGCCAGGAGAAAGAGAGGGAGAAGCAAAAAAACTGGAAGGGATTCTCTGTCATTGCACTTCCATCGGTATGGCAAAATCCTCAGTTTCCGTGCAGATCGGCCTCGTTGATTGGTCCGCAGCCCAAGGCGGCGAGAAAGGAGAGGAGGAGGCGACTAAGAGGTCGGTTTGGATGTACGGAGTATACAATCAATCTTGACAACAACAATAACAATAACAGAACCTAAACAACCACAACTGCCACCTACCACCTACCATCTACAACAATGACCCTTGATTGTTCTGCAGTTCCTCACCCGCATCATATTTCCGATCGCTGCACTTCCGATATATCCATAGAGTCATGTCACACTCCCCATTGCGCATACCGCACCCTCCTCAGTCATCATCAGCAACATCCTCTTGAGTTAATCCTTCCATTCCATCCCAACCCGACCGAGCCAGACCAATTTTCAACACGGGTGATTGGCACTCTCCCAAAACATGAATCCTCCTCCCCCGGACAACCTCACGCGACAGATTCTGCAAGGAGGTTGACGGCCTGAAGTGAGTATACTTCCCCCACACTTGGCATCAAATGTAATGGAGGTAATGCGGTAGGAGGCGTCAACTACTAGGTAGTACTCTCCGTCATCGTCGAGCCGTCGGTCGGCGCACGAGCACCCTCCCCCGACCATCCGTCTGTCTGTCTGCCCAACAGCAGCACAGGAGGTTCCAGAAGAGCAGGTGTCATGCATCCCTTCCTCAGTAATTGTTTACGACAAGCTTCCGGGCGGATTTCCGCCCTTTCCAGAAACGTTCCATTCGTTCCATTCATTCGCGGACTGACCGCGGCTACGACAATTATTGGATCTATGGAGGCGATGACGCACAGGTTCCGAGTTCGAAAGCAACCCAAATCGCATGGCATTTCAACTATTGGCACTATCGCTGGCAGATTCTTTGACTCGTCACAATATTTTCGTGTCTCATGCATTAGGTCCGAAACTTCATCATGGGTCTTGTGAGAAATCCGAGAAGGAAAAAAAAGACCGCTTCATCAGAAAGGAAGAAATGGGTACTTCGAGTTGAAGCACGAGAACAAAAGTATACAGCTTGTGCACCCAAGCAATCGCAAGCCAAACAGGAACTGGCCATCAAGAGAGCATTGGATGGGTCAGAAACAAAACAATGCTAGTAACGCCGCACCTGGACTCCAGCACCAAATAAAATACAAAGCGGTCTAAAGTAGGAAGCAGTGTTCTTTCATCACGCCTCCAATCGAAATGGACCAGCCGAAAAAAAGGTCTCATGCACGTCATAAAATGTATAGTTGTGAGGAAGGTAGAGGAGCAGGAGAGCGAGGCGAAATGGGTAGTGATGTAAAGAACCAGGTAAGGCGTGGCACGCCGTGGACCTATAAGCTGGAAATAATCTCAAAACGCCATGGATTATGCAGTTCAGCAAGAAGTTGCCAGTCACACATATGGGAAAATCCGGCATTCAACATGTCGAGTATATTCAAGAACCCGAATTAAGTGTCATGGAAGAATCGCTTTTGTCAAAGCCAAGGTAACTTTTCCGTATCGCGGAGATGTATGTCGTGTCTCAGTCAAGTGAGGTGGGTATCGTCGGTCAGGTCATGGATGTTCTGCGCTTCGCCCTCGTCTTCCCCTTCTCGCTCTTTGTTTCATCTCCCTTGCTTTTGAGTTTTCTGCTTTTTTTTTGTGTCGATTTCAGGTCTGTCGTCTCCAACTGGGCCTTTGTGTTTATGACCTAGGTCATCCGAGTCGCTAGTCATGAGGCACCTTAATCCTCAAGCTCGGTCCACAACTCATCTCAACTCAGAGCATGTCCTCCACTTAGTATGACCGGTGCACTCACCCTGGTCAGGGAATCGGCCGGCATTCTGGTAGCCTCGGTAAAATCAGTCCCTGTGCGGTGCACAGTAGCATCAGTTGGACTGTGTTTCCAGCCCCGGTCACCGAGTTGCGCAAGCCACGTGTTGCCCAGTTCTTGCCGGAGAGCATCTAATTCCCGTCGGTAAAAATCCTCATCCATACTCCAGCCTATGCTCTGTGGTGCTCGCTGAGGTGTAGGACGCTCTTCGGTTTGACCAATGGATTGTGTTTGTTGATGGTCGACATTGCTGAAGTTCTTAGGGCTGGGGGGTCTGGCCTGGGGTCCACCATCAGATTTCCATTGACGGTCGAGAGACGGCGAGATAAACGGGTCTTCAAGTGATTGGACATGGTGAACAGGAAGAGTAGAAGGCACCACTGCACCTGGAGTATCATTACCATCAGTGGAGGGTGTCTCCTGCGGCCGATCGATGATCCTCCGCCGAGTTCCCTTTTTGCGACGCGTCGACCCCACCTCAACTTCACCCTGGAACACACGACCAGTGGGTCGCCCCTGTTCGTGAAGCAACGGGGCTGTCTGGTTGATGGTGTTGGATGATGGTTTGCTGACCACGGCTGAGAGATCAGCCGCAGCCGATCGTATGACAGGTGCAGCTTCGGGTTCCGCAGCTCGCTCCACCAGCTGTTTCCGTTCCGTGTATCCGGGCCCGGAACCATCAATGATGATGTCTTCCGAGTACCCGGGAGTACGACGGAAAAGATTGAAGATGATCACGCGGTAATTAGGATGCGTCTTGACAAACGAATTACCCGATACCCAGATCTCCCGTATCTCAGGGAGATTTGTGAGCCTGGCGATCTCTGTCGGATCGGAGAGGTTGTTATCGCGAAGATCCAACCGCTCCAAGGAGAGCAATCTCTCAATGCCCGCGAGAGAGCGAAGACGGTTGCCACGAAGGTTGAGGGCGGTGATGGCGGGAAGAGGATTGCGGGACAGCGAGTGGAGAGATTCTATCATGCAATGCGAAAGGTTCAAGGCGCGTAAAGCAACAAGGGTCGATAAACTATCGGGGACTTCAGTAAACAGGTTGGCCGAAATGTCGAGCGAATGAAGTGTGTTAGCTACAGGCGCAAGGCCGGCAGCAGAGATGCTAGTCAAGGAATTATCGGGAAGCCCAAGATGACGCAGGAACCTCCATTTAGAAGCGGGGAGTACCCCAGCCAGTAGGTTGGAGGAGCTTCCGTTGCGGTGTCCCGAGGTGTCGCTTGAGTTTGAGCTGCCGGAGCCGGTGCGTCGAATGCGTGAGGCAGTCCCCCGATTATGGCGGTAGGACGAGTGTTTGGAGCTCGTTGGGCGCGAAGGAGAGATACTTCCAGTTCGATGGCGGCTTTTCGAACCTTCCGACGCCATTCGAACCATCGAGGCTGCTTGAGGACTTGTACTCGTTCCGAAAGCCGTATCGGCGACTGGTGATCCTGGCGCCGAAAGGGACCCCGGTGTGTGAGATTTATTGTTGACAGGTCGAGGGTGCACAGATTGGCTCCAGCCCATCATCGGCCCATTGTTATGGTTTCTGGTTGATCGGCGGCGTCGTTTGTCGATGTCATCCAGTACGATCCCAGTGAGTAACTCGGCAGGATCATCGATGTTTGCCCGCTTGATCGTCAGTGTCCGCAGTTGCTCTGACAGTCTGTCCCAACCGAAAAATGATCGGAAGTCTATATCGATAATCTCTAAAGCGCTCAAGTTTTTGAAGGAGTGGAGGGGCACTGCAGTGTCAAAGGGGAACTCTTCATACCCGCGAATCAAACGGGCACGACGATCAGGGGCTAGCCGTAGGCAAGGAATCTTGGTGAAGGCAGAGTATAGGTACTTTGTATCCGCCTCCAGAGCCGCCTTGGCCTTTTCTGACCTGGAGACGGGGTCTTTGGATACCAGGCCAAATGAGGACCAAAGCGAACTCATACCAGACATAACACTACGGACACTGGATACGGAGTGGATCGAATCTCGATCCCCCCGAGATCGCTGGGGCTTATTCAAGAATGAGACGTAAGACTGCGAGATGTCTGTATGGATGTTTTCCAGTCTAACATTCAAGGGTCCCACAGCAATAGAAAGTTCTTCGAAGCAGGAGAGGAGATAGAAGAGATGGTGAGGGGTGAGGGTGAGTTTGGCAGGCTTGACGCTTTGCGAGGCGAACTTTAAAGCACCGAATGAGAGCGCGGCCGCCAGGGTGGATGAAGCCGAGCTCGCGGCCGAGCCGGATTGAATGTGTGTGGTTTGCACATTTTTGGCAGGTTGGCGTTTCAGCTGCAGAGCGTTCGCCAATGCCTTCTCGTGCGTTCGTACGAAACTTGCGAGGTTCTAACGGCGGAAGCACATGGTAAGCATAATGGCATTGAGGTGCCCAGCACAACAAACCAAATCGGGGCGTAGCAACCATGTGGGAGGGGGGGGAACACCAACCTTGATGAAAAGCTGGCCATCTTCACTGTTCAGCTTCTCCATAACGGGAAATACTTTTGCCCAACAAGACAGGTAATATCTAGCTAGGCGGACTCTGAAAAGGAACGCTCAAGTACTCGTAGTATGGACAGCAAGAGTCGACATCTTGCTAGCCAAGGCACTCGGGAAAAAAAAAGCTGTGAAGCGCTGCAAGTCAGCAGCAACTCTTGGAAGTTGGCAAGACCTAATGAAAGAACACAGAACAAGGATGTTGGAAAGTACCTTGATGGGATATATGAGGTACAACGGTAAACAATCAACAAACGTGAACACAACAAGCCTGCCCACCACAACAATGCAAGATAGAAGAAGATCGAGGAAAGGTTTGGAGAAGGAAAGGACACGCGATAATAAAGGGGGTATCCTTGAAGTCAGTTGAGAGAAGCTTGTCACCGGGACAAAGCTGAGGAGGGGACAGGAACAAGATGAGGTAGAAGGTATCACCAAAAAAGGAGAAGATGAATGGATGATGGGATGGGGATAGCGATAGGAAAAAAGAGGACCGGGGGGAGCTAATATGCAAGCACCACGGACCTACTGATTTAGCCTAGTGGGTGGTATGTGACGGATGGGGGTGGGAGGAGGGGGGCGGCCAAAGTGGAGTATGGATGTGCACCGGAGCAATCAGCTGAGGAGGAGGGGTTTTTAGGGGGGAAGAAAAAGTGGTAAGCCGTGAATGAAAGGTAAATTATTTTATCGTGACAGATAGATACTAAGGTGTATCTTTTTCTCCCCTCCAGAAACGGGATTTGGAGACGGGCAAGGGAGGACAAGAGGGTGGGGGAGGATAAGACAAGAAGGATAAGCGAGGATCAATCACGAGAAGATAACCAGAGATCAGGAGGGTAAGTATCTCTTGTCTGGTTTTTGATCACAAAGAAAGATCAATCGGCTCAATGAAATAGGGGGAGGGGACAAGAGAGAAGAAAACCAAAAGGGAGGATGAGAGATGGAAAGAGGGAGAGGCAGAGGCAACTTTGGATGGGCGGGCTAGGGAGAAAGAGAGAGAGAGAGATACCTGCATACGTACTAATATAAATTATTATCATATAATATTCCCTGGCTGTTATCATCTTCTGCCTTCCCTTTGGTCAGGGAGCCGCTGCATCGGGCGTGGTCGAGGTACGTAGTACATGCATATAGTACGTACCGTACGGTATGACTCCAGTGGATACCGGATCACTAGTAACACCTAACTTACTCGGTACTAACTTATAACTAGGTTACTCTGTTTAGTTGCTTTGGTTGTCTTCTTTCAAGGATAAACCACTCCATTAGGAGAAAAAGAATCGGTTGTTTCTTTCTCTTTGATACGCTACTCTCTCCCTCAACCGACTTTTGGACCACCCTTCTGGCACGCATCTTCAAAGACAACGATGACCCAGTGGCGACTTGGATCTTGGGAGGGCATTCATATCTTGATAATTGTTACAGGTTACAGACTTCGAGTGGCCTTCCGCCCTTTCTCATTATCCTCCTCTCTCTCTCTCTCTCTCTCTCTCTCTCTCTCTCTCTCACTCTCTACCGGGAGAACAGAGTTCATATCATTCATATATAATGGTTCATGATGGCTATCCAGCCCATAGGAATCAAGGCTACTGGATTGTAGGTGGTGAACACATGTTTGGACTCAAATGTCCATACCTCGAATGGCTGGTAGCCTTCTCCGGAAACTCTATCTAGCGGGGGAGGGACGGCCGAATATTCAAGTTGATCCGAACGTGATAAAGGAGATACCACAGATTGGCGAGAGATTTCCACTGGTGCCTCTGGGCGTACCATCGGATGAGGAAAGTTTCTCCTTCAGTGACTTCATGGCTGAGGCATTGTTGGTTTCAGCATCGACAAACACAATTCCATACTCCAGGGACAGACTATGGCGTACGTCGTAGGGACCAGAAACTATTTCCTTTAATCATATCGCTATCCATTCTTTGCAACTGGGGCTGGCTTTCTGGGTTAAAGGAAGGAAAAAAAGTGGAGCATCTTTCCGACGGTGTCCATGAGAAGCGGGTTTCCCGATCGCCCGACCCTTGAACTTGACCTTGAACTTGGCTGGTGCAGTACTCCGTACAGAGAAGACTCTCAATATGCAAGCGTAACGATCGTGATTCGCAGCGAATAACGATGAAGAAGGGCAATGGAAGCGCCGACGCACACACCATGTTGATCCTTTTACTCCGTCTCTTATGAAGCGACTAATGTAAGTCAGTGAAGATGGTCCGATTTCTTTTTTTTTCTCTCCTTCCACATATAGTACTTCGTTTCTTCCATTCAAAAATGAGGGCGGAGAGGAAGAAGGGGGGTTGGCTCCAGTATGCTGCAGGTTCGGGGTATGTAAAACCATACCAGTTCTAAAGTTGAGTATAATTATGGAAATGAAAATGCAACTGGCGCACCAGCGGGACGAGCAACTGGACCGTCGGTGTCCAAACATCCCGTGATTGGTAGCGAGCCCCCAACTGTGCAGCTGATAGCGCCCTGGCGGACTTCCGAGTATAACGCTCTCGGGCGAATCAGCCTTTGCCCTCCAGCCACCGTGCATGACGCTTTACTCGACCCAGCGCTAGAGTATCAATCCCTGCTAGGTCACTTGTAAGAGAATCCATGATCACAGGCAGTCTGACACTAAGGAAGTACTCGTAAGAGGACCCGGCATATGGATGGAGATTGGCAATCTGGGAGAGGGCCAAAATAACATCATGGCTTTCCCAATCCAGTTAATTGAACGGACGCTGGAGAAGTTGAGGCGCTCTAGTGACTGCCAGTAGAACTAGGATCTTACCTCAGGTACGTAGGAATGTATGTACCAGAAATGACCATACACACTACCTACGTTAGCGGCATCGAGGTTATGATTACTTGGGATTGGCTTCTCGATCCTCTGTATGGGTGGGAAGATTGATTTGAACACCTCTCAACAATTGTGTGGAAATCTCTTGCCGGCCGCATATATGGGCTAATTACTGCATCTCGCCTCATGCATTCATGCATCGGTTCTTTAGCTGAAACTCGGAAGGAGGCTTCGCTTATTCCGAGGAGAATAAGGCCACTTATTGGTTGTACGAGATTTTCTTTTAAAGTTATGTTTATTTCCATCCTTCCTCTTCCTCCATCCCTCCTCCATTTCCGCCCTCTGTATGGGTGTGTATGTGTGTGTCAGCAGGAGAATCACGAAATCCCACTCTGTTATCTCGCACTGACGGGTTGACATTCTTCGGAGGCTCAAGTGGAACCCTAGGCTCATCATGAGGGTCTCTCATCTCTAAGCATCAAGTGACTGCAGCCCACTCGGACGGACTTCGTAAAAATGATCGGGTCAGCCGTCATGCCGAGAGCAGTTGACCCCATCCTCCCTTCTCTTTTCCCCTTTGGTTTCCGAATCTCACAATCTAATCTAATACATTCCCTGTCAATCATCAACAACCGTAACTTTCCATCCATTGCACGGAGGATCAACAGGTGCGCCGTGCACATAACGGCCTGTTCGACAATCTGATGATGTGCTTGCTTTGCTGTGTGGTTATCTCGATGACCAAACCTTAAAAAAGCCCATCGGCAACTCATTTCATTGCACAATGACTCGGTTGTTATGGATCGCAAGTCGCATTTCCCGCTGTCACACCGCTTTCTTGTTGACGCTATCCCCAAATATCACACCACATTCTTCTTATTTTTTTTCTTACTTCTGGCTCCAGTGTTTCCACTTTCTCGGTCTCAATGTCAATAATAACATCATTTGGTCCATAATTCCTACGCCCGTCCCCCCGCCCCTCCCCACCATCCAATGGTTGTCATCGTCATTATTGGCATTGTCAGTTGCCCTCATTCCATGGCCCACGTTCTCGGCGATCCTCCATATGCTCGATCGCAACGAGGGGTATTCTAGTGTCGAATCTTAGATATTCAATGACGTCCATGGAGGGGAGAGCACTGCTTGGATGGTCCGTGACCGCTCTGTTTCTCTCTCCTAGGGCTTCTCTTCCTGCCTCACTTATCCCACGCGTACGTCGGCCATGGAAGGGGATTGAGGCTGACTGTACGGTATCCATATCGCAAATGCCGGTCGCCCAGTCTTCACGATGATAATGACGATGAAGTGGGCACGGCACCGCCAATCTGGAGTCTCTTCCTTCATTGCACGTTCTCGGGAGACTGATAGGCGCATTGGAGGACTCTCTTTTGATGCCTTGCCTTGCCTCTCCAAGGCGTATGTTTAGAGCCGGTATCCTTCCGGAGGAGTGCGCTTTGTGATTTGCTCGCCCTTACCATTCGGTCCTATGGATACTACAGTACACGGGCACATCTACACCGTTACGAAGGCAGACACAAGGCAACAATCATTCGCCCATCGGTATCCCTGGGAGTCATCGGGATGTTTCGTTATTTGTTTTTGTCTTCGGTCCATCGTCATAACCAAGTTCGGGAGAGTAGCCTGGTGAAACCAGAATAATGTTTCTTAGGCAAATGGAATCGGTAAGAGAAGGTCCGGACTTGTTCCATGTGTTGTGTAGCATGCTAGGAGTACCGTGGGAGAAACATAAGTTGTACACAAAAACACACGGACACATTTGGCAGAAAGTGTTTTTTTTTGTTTTGATGTTATGCGAGGAGGTCCGGCCCAGCCCTCTATGCCTTGTTTACAACAATCCCTGCTTTAAGCCTGTCTCAGTATATTTGCGGAGAGGAGAGGGTTTTCGACCTCTTGGCGATGGACAATGGACGATGGTTTGGCAATGGGAAATTCCCGCCCACTCTCTCTCTCTCCCTCTCCCGATAGAGGAATGTTGGAAACATGTCCGAAACAGACATACAAAATACTTGTATAGCGGATTGGAATGGGAGCCCTGGAGCCCGCCCCGATGTTAGTCCCATCGTGCCAATCACCGTTGAATCAGGACAGGGCGCACATGACCATTATGACATCTTCATGTCTGGGTTTGTAAACAGAAAAGCGCTTCATTCTTCTGAACAATAACAAAAGGCGCTAAAAGCCCTGGCGA